TGCTTATATGTGCCAGGCATCATTTGTATTTTGATACATACTTACATGTGTGTACAGGGGCTGGTATGTATGCTCCTTTCTTGTATGTGTCTGTGTACATCTTTTTTAAAAAGACCCTCCTCATGTACTATGGCTGATACATTTGACAGAGAACTAAACATTGGGATATTTAAAACTACAGCCCTAATATCTGTAAGATTCTATGCTAATATACAGGTTCTTGAGTACTAGGTTTTTAATTAATTAAATCCAAAGGCTATTGCATAGTTAGGAAATAAGTGTTTACTGCCATCTGGTGGAAGTCTGGTCCATCTACAAACAACTAAGCTAGTCGTCTTTAAATGGGCAACTATAATAACATCTTTAACAAAATTATTTTGCTCTAATCACTCTATCTTGTTTTCAGAAGGATCATCAAAAGTTACTGTTTTAATAATATCCAAAGAAAGAAATTGCAGCGGATGAGAAATTGTGATTCGTGATTTATTTCCCACGACCGTGGAAGAACTATTTACTAAGGCTCCCATAGTTTCCTACTCAGGATACACTTTCTCCCCCACAGACATGGTAAGGGTACTCCTTGCACCAGAAAGGACAGACAAATAAAAGGTCTTCGGCAAAATGGCAAGGAGTGCGCTGAGAACCGCGCTGTGTGTTAAAGGCAAAGCTCCACGGCAGTTACTTGCCCCTCATGGCACCTGGTTTCTCCCGTGGCCCACAGAAACTGACGCTATAGGAAGACAGCCTAATAACACGGCGCTGCAACGCATCGTCTGATGAAGCCAGAAATGCCTTTATTATCGAATTCACAATCAAATGCCTTGTTCCGTATTTTGTCCACGAATTTCAAGCATTGTCGATTACTCAAGAATAAGTCTCGAATTCGCTAAAACAATACCGTTAAAGATGTTGAAACAGAAGAAGGGTCCATTTCTAAAACCTTGTCTCACTTTAGCAACTCAGAGAATAAAACCTAAACAGATGAACATCTTACACCATTGTCCTAATTCCTAGACGGTTTCCACAGTTCACACAGACACACACACAAAGCACGGCGCTCTTCTTCAACAGCTTACAATTTACGTGTTTTGTCTCTACAGTTAAGACCACAGAATCTCCAGCGTATGAAATGGTCTAATTTTCTTCAGTTGGTTCCTCCTTCATTTCTAAACAAACCATAATAAGCTTTTTGTGTTTTCCTGAATAACTTAGCCACCCAGTAAGTACTAGTTAAATAGAATATCATGCTTAGGAAGTATACGTTTAAGTAAAAAGTTTAGGTGTTTCTTTTCTAAGATGCCTAGATTTAACGTTGCAGCCTTTAAACTTACCGTGAGATTTATCACGGTCGTCTACAGGTGTTAATCATTTAAACACTACGCAAAGCCAGATATCTCAGATGTGCCTGTATGCTGGAAGCAATTGCAAAAGAGATGTTCCAGCGATGAGTTAATATAATTCTCTAGATTGCAAATTCTTAAAGGACAAGGACAAAATTTAATCATTTTTGTTTTCTTCACAATAAAAAATAGTGCTCCTACCTGGAAGGCTGTCAACCAATGATTGTGTAATTTCAGTATAACATAGATCAGGGGTTCTAAGCCTTGGCACCACTGGCATTTGGGGTCAGATAATTCTTTGCTGTGGGGGCTGTCGTACACATCATAGGATGTTCAGTCGCATCCCCAGCCTCTACCTACTAGATGCCAGTAGCTCCCTCTCCCCAGCTGTGACAATAAAAATGTCTCAGGACATTGCCTAATATCCCCTGGGGACAAGATCACCCTCAGTTGAGAACCACTGATACAACAAAGCGAAGAACACTTGTTTCTTTCAGCCTGAATAAGATCATTCTCTTGTTTTTTAACTCAGGGTCACCTCTCTGAGCCTGGGTTTCCCTTTCTGTAAAGTGAAGTGATTGGATTTACAACCTCACTGAATCTCTGATTCATTCATTAGACCATCTGATATTTACTGAGTGTAAATTAAATATCAGGCACCATTCTGGGAACAAGGTAGCCAGTGGTGAGTCCCTGAACATTTTCCCCTTGGGTTATCTGACTGACAAAGAAATACCAGTTTTGGATCATGAAAATAATAAAAATAATGTTTAAAATAATAATAATAATAATGCACTACTTCACATTTTTTGTCCTCTTCCTCTCAGTGGAAGCAACAGGACTTAACACTTACTGAATGCCTTTTAGGTACAAGGTGCTGAAAGTTCACAATTCCCCAAAAATCCCATATAATATATATTATCACCTTTTTTACATACAGGGGGACTGAGGTTCAGAGAGGTTACGTATTTGCTTAAGGCAGAGAGACTGCAAGCAGTATACCTGGGGCTTTTATTCCCACTGCACTAGGCTCTCTTTGCCACACTGGCCAACATAAACACCATGAACTCAAAGGCAATTCAAGAATGACATCATGCAATTTACCAGGAATGCCTCAAGCACATTAAATTAGTATTTCCAATTATAAATATGTGTTGAAAGTAGAAAAGCTGAGGGCAAATGCTGCCAACTCCTGCCCTCTGATAGGACCTTCCCTTTAAAGCAAAAACAGCTCAGTTCTCAGCCATCTTACTTTTTAAAAAATACTTTATAAACATCAGCCTAATAGGACTCTTACTTTCCTTTAATGAGTCTGCTTCCCGCCCTTTTACAGCCATTGTACAAGGACTCCGTCCCCACTTCCTCCCGCTTCCTGGCTTCCTCCTCGGTCCTCCACCTCCTGCATTCTGGTTTCCGTTAAAAGTGCTCTCGGAGAAGTCACAGATGAGCATGTTCTTTGCCAAATGCTGTAAAGACACTTCGTTCCTGACCTTTTCGGGAGCACTCCCTCCTTGCTGAAACTCCATCTTCCCTCGCTTGGCATCTGCGACTCAGCCCACTGGACCTTCCAGTGGCTTCTATGACTTCTCAGGCTGCCAGACTTTCTAACTTTACTTGACTTCAGGAATATTCGTTTTAATTTAAATAGCCAGCACATGGCTGGTGACTACCATAGTGGACAGTGGACCACTCTGGAGTGGTCTTTCTTTGAACACAAATCACTTAGAACACTGCTCTTTAAGTGGAAAAAAAAACCCATTCTCCTTGTCTTAATATATACGGTCTGAAAAAAAACAGCTGCCCTACCTTTCTGGCCCCAGCACTCCCCTCCCACTTCTAGCACGACTTCCAAATTCACACACATCTTATGTGTGACACAGACATGCACTATCCACATGAAACCAGGTTGTATAATGCCACACACCTCCCTGTCCTCATTGCCTGAACACTCCTTCTCTCTCTTCCCTTCCCCATCTGCCTTACTCATCCATCAAGCATCCTTGCACCTCCCTGGTACCCCCTACCAAAGGTGTGTTGCACTTGAGTTCTCCCCATCTCCAAGAGAATAATAACCCTAACTTCGAATCTTTTATGGGACATCCAGTAGACTTTTCTAATTCTTATTTTAGACAAGATTCACCCCCTGCCTCTTACTGTTCAATTTTGCTTAAAAAGGTTACTTTTCAAAAAAAGTTACTTTAAAACACTTACAGTATAAACAGCCTATAAATTGCAAAGCTGCATTTCATCTAGTCAAGCAGATTCATTAAAAATGAGTCAGATATTTATAAAAAAAGAACAATCCCTATTTACCAAGTAATAATATTAATCATGCCAGCATCCCTTACTGGAGGCTTAGCATAGTCACACATTATGCTGAGCACTTTACCTCATTTCATTCTCTTATAATCTTATTACACAAAAACTGTGATGATCTCCATTTTTCCAGGGGAGGAAATAGGAGCTTAGAGATTAATTTGCCCAAATACGGCTCCAAATTTGTTACGTGCCTGGCACATAACAAATCCCAAAATTTCCTTCTTCCTACCCACTAAGCTTATAGAAGCCTGAATAGCTGCCTCGTCTTCACTCATTCATTCAAAAACTATTCACCACATGCTTTCTAAGTACCAGGCACTGTCCTACGTGCTGGGCACACGGTGGTGATGTTAAAAAGAAAAAACAAAAAATCCCTGCCTTCAGAGAATGTCCATTCTGACAGAGAAAGTCGGTGAAACAAAACATACAATAAGTGAGATAGTGTTAAGTACTACAAAGAAAATCATCACAGATTAACAGAGTGGGCGAGGAGGAAACTTCCTGTTTCCACACGTTTTTCTCATCAGTTTTCCATCCCTACTTCCTCACCCTCCCTCACGTCCAAAACCAAAAGTTAGACACATAATACTAAAATTCCCAACACCAAATTCTGGTTTAGAATCCCAGAAGAAACTCTAAATTGAAAGGCGGAGTTGAGGAGAGTTAAGAATGAATGGATATTTTCAGACACCTAAAAACAAATATTTTCAAAATTAGTTTTAAACTAGATAACTGACCTTTAATTAAATCATTTCTAAAATTTGTACGTGGCTATTTCTACCCACCCTTCATTCTACCTGTCAACATGCGTTTCGTGGAGAAAGAAAAGACGTCTATATGTTTTTACCATTTTTATTGACGGGACAGTTCAGTCTCTTAGGGAAGAAACCCTTTCCTCTCTGATAGTTCGAACAATAAAACCCACTCACCAGGGAAAGACTGATCACAGAAGATCAGCCTGAAGCTATGTAGGCTACACCACATCAACAATGGGCTGATCACGGCTCCAAAGCAGACATTCTGATAGAGTGAAGCTAAATAGGAACTCTCAGGACGGATCCCATATGGTTGCAGATCGGATCCCTGCTTCCCCATGTCCTACAGCAAACCAACCACAGGGTTCTGTTGTTGCTGTTGCTGTTTTAATGTTCAAGACAAAGGCCATCTTAAGGTTTCAATTAACCTCTACATCTTGAGAACAATTTACACGCCAATCCAGAACTTGATAGGCAATAATCAAATGTGCACAAAAACTGTTCCTACAGATACAACGTCTTTTGTATCGCCCGTTTCACTATTTCAGAATCAGAGACTTAACAGCACCACATCCATTCAACTTACCTCTGCAGCTAAATAGTTCCCAGTGGCAAGATGCTTAAATCTGAACAAGCTGTTCCACTGTCCGGCACCCCCTCGGCACGGGTCGTGGTGAACCACCTACAGCCAAAAACAGAGAAATGAAAACAACGGCTAACAGATAGGTATGTTCCTGGCAAGCAAATGCCCACACTTTACATGGGGCGCCCACCTGTTCATGCTCAACTTGTCAAATCGAATATACGTTTTCATGAAAACAATGTGGCAGAAAAACAAATTCCCCACAGATGAGTAAGAGAACAGTTAACTCACTGGGCTTACATGATTCTCACACCTCATATGTGCAAATACAGCCTTACTCTAAAAGACATTTTCCTAGACCCAAACTGGAAATACGATGGGTTTCCCCACATTTGTTATTCAAATATTTATTCAACAGAGAGCCTGGTACACGCCAGGTACTCCTCTAGGCAATACAGCCCACAGCAATGAATAAGACTGGAGCTTTCAACCAATAAGATTTGGCTACTGTCAGGGGGAAATAAACAGGGCACGTGATTGGGGACCTAGAGAAGGCTACCTGAGATATGGCCATCAGCCTGGGCACTCTGAGGAGATGATTTATGAGCAGAAACCAGAAAGATAAGAAAGAGATAGTCATACAGAGAGATTGGAAGGGACCATGCCAAGCAGAGAACCATAAACACCAAAGCCTGGATGTCTGGACTCAACTCTTGGTCCTTCCCATGTGCTGCTTGTTTATTAACACTATGTCCTTTGATACCTGTCCTGGAAACCAGCCTTGCCCCCAGTGTGGAGCCACTAGGCTCATTGAGAACGAAAGTGGTAGAGGGTCTGAGACAGTTGGTTGCAACAGGTGGGGCTGGTCTTCCAGTCCAAAGACAACTGTTTGAGTCCCAGCTCTGCCAATTACTGCAGTAGGATCACAGCAAGCAATGTGACGTCTTCAAAGCTGTTTCTTCTTTTACAAAGTGGGTTTAAATCATAGGATTGTTGTGAAGATTAAACATCATAAGGCATACTGAAGTGCTCAGATGACTCCATTATTCTCCAACAGATTACCTTCTTCTTGTTAATAGGAACCACGCTTTGCCTCCTGCCCCAACCTCAAGTTCTGTGTGCTAATGCAGAGAACTTTCCGATGCCTTTTGCTAGACTCCAGCTTCTATGTCTTCCCTTACTCCAGAAGCTCAAATAAGATAATTATGAAAATACTTCAAAGTGCACGGAGTCTTACAAAAGTGTTCCCCCTGCAGCCAAACACCAGCCCATCCTTCAAAGTTCAGTTCTCACATCAACCTTCCACCACCAAGCCTTTGCTAATTGCACAGGCTAGTGTGATCTCGTCAGTGTTTGAACTCTAACTCCTTTGGGGGGGCATGGATACCTTTGAGAATCTGACAAAATCTATTGATGGTCTCACATGCACACAATACGCACAGACACCTTCTGTATACAACTGCTAACAGTTAACTAACAACTTGAAGCTTATCATGAATCACAGACTAAAAACTCCTGTCCTGTACACTAGCCGGTCTAGCAACGGACAATTTGGAGATAGAGAAGTGAAGGTGTTTTTTATTATCACGATGATTTTGGAGGGACGCTACTGGCATTCATGGGCAATGGCCGAGACATTATATATCCTGCGGTTCACAGGGGAGTGCAGCATAGGCTAGACATTGTGTGCAATACTTGGGACTGTCCCTACCCTGTATCAAGGGGCTCGGTGGGAAGCAGAGGGAAGTGGCTCCTCTTAGGGCTCCAGTGAAGGTGGTGGCAGCTGCCTCGTGCAGGCTCCCACAGGGAGGCGGGGTGACAACTCCTGGGGCACAAGAGGAGGCAGTGGAGGCTGTGGCACTGCCAGATCTTCAGGTAAGACTACGTTCCTCACCCCGCTTTTCCCCATCCAGTCCCTCCAACAACTCTGGCGCCTCATTTCCTACATTAAATACCTCCTCGCTTGAAACACCTGGCGCTCAGGTTTCCTGGCGGAAGCCTGGCTGATGCAGCACACAATGAAGAAACGTCCCGTGGTACCGCTTTCAAATCTCTGACAGAAATAAACTCACCACAAACACATATTGGTTAATGCTTTAATATATAATCTTATTTAAAAGTTTTTACATCAAGTTATTTGAAAAATCCAGTAATTTCAGAGAAATTCACTACGGAGAGGGAAGCTTAAATGAATTCAAGACATTATCTCAAAATTATTGAATAATTTATTCACTCTCTCCACTCTGACTGCTCAGTGGGTCATAGCATTTCCATCTACATGTTTTCTTGGAAAAGATTTCGGTGCACTGGCACAATTACAGCAAAAGCTATAATACTAATAATAAATATATGAAAGAAGATTCAAAGCTCCTTTTAACAGACCTAGAACCAAACATTAAATAGACAGAGACACATGAAATGCAGGGAACTCACCATATAGGGAAATCACTTTGTGACTTGACCATCGCTGTATTTTGCCAAAAAAGTTTTAAAATAGTATTTTACATTATTGCTATTCCTATGTTTTGAACATTTTTGGAGAACAATGTTAAGAACTCTATGGCATGAAAAATGCCGTATTTTAATTATGTATTTATGTTCTCTTTCTCTTACTCTGACAAGAGACACTGGGAGGTGGGCTTCTGGGAAGCAGATCATGTAGGTGTGGTGGGGGCTGTTTTCCCCAGACCTCGCCATCCCCTGTCACCTACCGAAGGACATGATCTCCAGATACATGGAAAGATAGGGTCTCTTCTGAATGTGAGAGACTGAAAGTATGTCTTAACATGAGTAGAGTTTCAAGACAAAAACCATGCTTTTTGGGGTTATTTCATCTCTATTCTAAGTCATGTCCTAACTGAGAGAATTATTTTGATGTTCTATTTATAACTAAGACTCAGCTCATTTGCATAAACATTATGCAGTCTCATTTTCTCTGTTTCAATAGCTCTTAATCTGCCTTATGAACCCCATTTCAATTATGGTGATTTCCCTCTTTTTTCAATCACGTACAAATACGTCTGTTCTGTTATTACTTCTCCTAATTCTAGATACTACCCGACGGCCCACGTTTGCCTCTGCTCTGTCATTTCCCTGTACTTAACACAGAATGTCTTCTGAGATTCTTCTTCCACCATTTCTCTCAAATCCAAATGTATCCATCAAAGACTCATACAAATATTGTATCTTCTAGAGTTGGTACTTACATGTTGAAATATGTATTATTTTTATTATAAGTTATCTCCCTCTTATTCCTTCTTTATACTAGAATTTGGCCCTTTTATTTTTAATCATGAGAATATATAATAATATTAACTATGAATTTCATTTAGGACATTAAAGGAAATGTAACAAAACGTATGCTGTAAAAGGGGGGTGATGGGTTTGAAATGGTTGAGAACCACTGCTATAGGTCTGGATGTCCATTAAATCAAGAAGGAACTTATCAAATGATGGCTTGTTTGTAGTTAATTATGTATATCTCTCTCCTCCACTGTATAGAAAGGTCCTTTAAAGACAAATCCAAACCTTAAATTTCCTTAATTATCATATTAGCACATTTAAGAAATATTTTTTTTAATCTATACCCACCACTTGAAAAAAAATTTTGTTGACATATAGTGGATTTACTAACTATGTTAGTTTCTGGTGTACAGCATAGTGATTCAGTTACATGTATATAAATACATGTGCTCGTTTTCATATTCTTTCCCATTACAGTTTATTCCAAGATACTGAATATAGTTCCCTGTGCTATACAGTACAGCCTTATTGTTTATGTATTTTATATATAGTAGCTTGTATCTGCTGATCCGAAACTCCTAATTTATCCCTCCCCCACCTCTCTCCTTTGGTAACCATAAGTTTGTTTGCTATGCCTGAGTCTATTTTTGTTTTGTAAATAAGTTTATTTGTGTCATTTTTCAGACTCCACAAATAAGTGATATATTTGTCTTTCTCTGTCTGACTTACTTCACTTAGTAGGATAATCTCTAGGTCCATCCATCTTGCTGCAAATGGCACTAGTTCATTCCTTTTTATGGCTGAGTAATATTCCACTGTATATAAAATAAAATACTTAGGAAAGAATACTTCTTAAAAGATGAATGGAATCTTAACTATGGGTCTCCTCACTCCAGTAGAAACGGCATCCCCAGAAGCCATAAATGTTCTTTTTGGTAACTGTGGACTTACGATCTTCACTTACAGTGAGTTATCCTTCTCCATCTTAACTCCAATGCCATTTGAAGCCCAAGACCTTAAGTCTGATCAGTCTTGACAACATTCACAATGGAATTTTAAAAAGCAAAATCACATATATGCCCTAGTTAAATAAAAGAGAGAGAGAGATGCCCCTGAGAAGACAGGCAAAGGGTCACAGCAGTGAAGAGGTACAAGCCGGTTCACAGAAATTACTGTTTTATGGGTCTATCGAAGAAGATACCTATAACAATAAAACAATCAGCCTAGGGACCGTGTCGTTTTGATGTAAGTATTTATTAAATGTCAAAAAAAAAGGGCGTACACACCTCTATTTCCCAGAGTGCTTTAGAACTGGTGGCAGAAGTGGCTGATTGACGCAAGGTTGTGCGAAGGAAAATGTGCTGCTTTTTCTCGTATTCGTCACAAGTCAGAAACTTCTCTTGTTCCGCATGAAACAGTCGGACAACATCACCCTAGAAAAAAAGGTCAAGAAAGCTGCATTTCCAACAAAGCCCTGAGCAAGCAGACATAAGAAGTGGGTGTCTTTCTGGTTTTGATACTCGGGGCCCTTCTGCTAACACCTGGCTTTTAATGAATACTTATACATTCCCGAATATAGTGGGGAGATAAGAGAGTTCAATGTGAGGATTAAGGTGTACACTCACAGCCTAAACTTCAAACGCCAGGGAACACACAGGGTTTGCAACCAGAAGCTCAGGAAAGCTACCTTCAGTTCTTCCACCAAGTGCAGGACATACTTACACCTTTCAGTACATCCTCTCGATAGGAACTATATTTCATGAATAAAGTGATTTTCCAGCTAGTGTTGCAATTAACAGCATTCACCTATTAATGAAGAGATGCTAAGTTACAAGCCTGCAGATTGCATTTCATACCAGATATTATTACTTCAACCAGCAGAAGGAGAAAAAAGAACAGATTTGGACAATGGGGCATGTATGTGAACACAAACATCGTCAAAGGCCCGTCTGAAATTTACACGTACCTTAGGAAGACAGACTAGCACATCTGGGCTTACGCTTATGAAAACAATGAAAGAAACTGTAGGCCTTTTTTTTCCCTCTCTCGTGAGAAAAATCAACAAATTCATTTCCTTTCCTCTTAAACTTACCTCTTTACACCCTGGATTATCAAGAAGCTCTATGTTGCTGGCATGTAGTGGCTGTCCTGCATTCACGGGCATCAAAACAACTTTATCTCCTACAACAATCTAGGGAATCAGAAATAAGTTGCAAATGAGACACTGCACGGATCTTTGGTGCTACATTTAAAGCTAAAGGTAACGGCACAGAAATCCTTGTTACTGACCTAACATCTGGCCCATTTAACCCCCATACAAATTTTAGTTCAATTTTTTTTTCTTCTTGAGGTAAAACACCTTCTGATAAATGATCATATAATCATGTCCCACGGTGCCCACCAGTCTGGATTCATAAAGCTGGTGTAGATCCTTTTCTTATTGGTCTCCATTTCAGTGAGACATTTCTTAAATAGGTCAATAAACAGGTCAGCATCCCTCCACACCAGGTCTGATGCCATGTGCATAGGAGATTATAAAAGTGGATGCATATGCCACAAAAAGCCACTCTGCCTAAAGGTTAGAATGACTTCAAGCACACGCAGGAAGTCTCATACATGTGTATTACCTCTGCAATGAAAAACATATCTCTTATATCTCATCTTCCCCATAATCTCAGAAATTTATTAAATATTCAAAGGTCATCTGGATTCAGGAAATGGAGAATTAGGTACGATCTTATAGGGACACATTTATAGTCTGGGCCTTGGGCAACTGGTTCACTTTTATCTTAAACATCCAACACTAATATTGCTCCTTAAACCTGGTGCTCGCTTTTAAATCACAATTAAAATTGGTTATGGAAAGGTACTCTAAAGAAGTTAAGTCTAAGGTGCTTTTTATTTATGCTACCGTTAACAATGTCTGCTTGATCTTCAAGTTTTTTTATTCACAACTCAAATTGTGGGGAAATGAAGTTATGCTTTCTTGATGATAATAATGAACATTTATTTCATAGTTATTCAAGTGAAGTTCTTCTGTCGTGAAGTTCCGTTAGAAGACATCACTGCAGTACCTACACGCTCCTTCACAGAATTGCTCACTATCTCAGAAATGAAAACCGGTACCTTCCCTTTGCACACTTCGTACCAACTAAACATTGGACTAGATTAACAGACAACTGAAAAACAAATAAGGACTCAGATGATTAAAATGAACAGTATCTTAACCTAGACCAAGACTTTAAGGAACACAATTTCACATTTTCAATATAAATCAACCTTTGATAAATTATATACAGGTGTCTACATTCACATAGAGGACTGTTGTCACAAACTACGTCTTCAGATTCAAGTATGGTAAGAGAAGTCTCAAGCTCACTAATCGAGCAAACGAAGGTTGTTCTTTGGTCTGCAGAGATGGCTCCTATTATCTGCAGGACTGGTATCTATCCAGTGCCTTTCAAGTTCGTAATCAGTCAGATGCTGTGACTCAAAAAGATCCATTAAAAAGTTCTTTATATGTACCAGTTAAGGAAAAGACATCAAGAAAACGTGTTACGTAAGAGGATGAGGGGGCAGCACTGGGCTATGTTTGTGTAGAAAACGGAGAGGGAGAGAGTAGGAGCGTATGTATAAGAAATCCTCCTGGGGTTAACTGTGCAAGAGAGAAGTGGGAACTGGGGACGTGGGGGAAGGACACAGACTTCTCCCAATGTATCTTCATATTGTTTTCTGTCTTTGAATCGTGAATTGGTACCTATTTTAAACAATCAAATGACAAACAAATAAACAAAAGTCAACACGATATAGACGTATTTGCAGCATCCCCCTCCTCAAAAAACAAAAACATTTGCTATTGCCCATGATGCCAAGGCAGCTCCAAGTCTCAGAGTCGTGCAGAAGCCTGAGTCGTCTTCCATCCTATATGCACGGGGGCTGGAGACCACTCTCTGCCAGCGCTGTCTGGTCTTCCAGTTTCTTAAAGAACAATTGGATTTGGTTCACTATGTCACTCTTATCTGTACCTGAATTCCTTATAAATTTGGTTCACCATGTCACTCTTGTCTGAATATAAATATTCACCAGTAAGCTGCTAAATAGAATCACATGTTTTAGTTGTATCCTTCCAATTAAAAGAACCCTTTTGGTTGCACCCATATTCACTGCTCGAAGTCGTATTATTTTACCATAGCTGTCTGTAAGTCTTGGGTCAATCCCTATGTTACTTTTACTTCAAATCACCACCTGTAAAGTCTTATATAATTTTAAGGGACTAATCACATAGCCAAAATGTTAAAAACTTCAAGGATTCGTAAAAATGGTATTCATAAGGAGAAGCTAACATTAATTCATTAATACCAGGTCCTAGGTCATGTTCTTAACAATGGTCACTTTTACGATCCAAGCTGAATAAACTTACAAGTGAAATGGACAAGATGCTAATTGTAAGATATGAAAAGAACAGTAAGAAGTTCCAGGAAGCATACAAGTGTGTAAAAAAGAGTCCCTGTTCTCGGGGAATTCACATCTACTTAGATAACTTGGTAAATATGGACCTTGGTAATGATACTCTCAGAAGAGAGCAGGCATGAAGCCTGAACCACTGGTGGGATCAGATGCCCCCCGAGAAGCCACAGGCTTAACACAGAACTGGAGGGTGAAGTCATTTTCTGCCACATCACATTCACCCTAGTGCACAAACATTTTTAAAAATCGCAATTCCAAAAGCACTTCTGTTGCTTCTATGTAACAGCCATGCACGATTCACGCTGGGATTTTACCGAAAATGAAGAGCAATGAAATGCCTCCAGCGGCTACCCCTCTTCTGCAGTGGCACCTGGTGTGGTGAAAAGCATACTGCAGTGAAAATCGAAACGCCAGGGATCAAGTCCCACCATTGCTAGAATTCCAAGGGGTCCAGTTTTGCAGAAGACTGAAATCTACTTGCTGTCTAAAGAAGCTCTTTCCCTAAGGGGTGTGGTTGGTTTTTTTTTTTTTTGATTGAAAGAATATTGAGCCTTTTCTCCATTTTAAAATCTACCATCCAGGTAAAGAACTAATGCCTTCTCAGACCAAAGTTGGAAATGAAAAATTAACCACTCAATCATGGGAAGATAAGTGAAAATGAAATATTTATGTACTCTGCTCAAGGCTGTCCCCAGTGACTTTCGAACTGCTCAACAGCAAGCAAGGACTTCTACACAGCTGAAAGCTGAGGGATCCAGGAATCTACTTTTCCCCCAAAACTACCCACCCCGAAATTCTATGAGGTATTTGACAGACATATTCTTAAACGGTAGACACCATTGACTTTTGACAATAGGAGCCTTTTTCTCCCCAGACCATCATCAGCCTCATTCTTCCATTTCATTTCAGCCGCCGAACATCCTGTGGCTATTTACAACCTAAATCGCAATGTCATCAACTGCTAAATAGTAAAATAGAAATTTTAAAGTCCTTTAAATCTTGTGCTTTTCTCCTCTTAGATTAACAGGCTTCTAAAGAAAATCAATAGTAATTAAACCTCCTGTTACGAAAGGATAGCATTTCCAGTTGTCTTCAATAAAATACAGCAGGCGTGGCTTTTAGAGAAATGCTACGTGTTCCTAGGGAGGAAGACGGGCATCACAGGACAACTGTTCATGTGGCAGGTATGGGGCCGTGGGTGTGCTTATGCTTCACAGCACTGTAATCACACACAAAAGCTGCACAGTGGCGAGCAAAAACAGTGAGCTACTTCAGCAAAAAGCAACATGTAAGGTTGTTTCGGCCATGCTTTATGGAGCACATCCACACAAGAAGGATTTCTATGCTGCACTTAACAATCACATTGTCCATTTTAACCAAGATGGAGAGTTTGGGTGGTAGGTTGCACCCAAACCGGCCCAGCAACCCAGTACAACTAATTATTTGAAATAGTTCATTACACTCAACTCTCTTTGACCTGGTAGGGACCTTGTAGTCTCCTTTGATGAGGGAGCAGGGAAAAGAATAGATGGAATGGGGAAAAAACAGACAGAATGAATCAATAAAATCCACAGCTAGTCTCCAGGCCCCTACTGGTCCAATCATTTCATCGCATTCCTCCAGAGCTTGAGTTCAGGTTTTGTTTGTTTTGATGTTTAATTTTCTTTGACCACCTACAAGCAGGGACCCTGCTCAGTGTGGGGCTGGAGAGGGCATCAAGCATTAGAAAGCAGGGCATCCAAAGACTTAGGTTTTTCATAAACTGCATCATCAGTTCCTGAATAATTGAGAGTTGACTGTAATTAACTACCTACTGAAACTGAAATATATGGCATGCTCCCACACACATCACTTGATGCCAAAAGAAAAAAAAAAGGAGAAAGTATTTATAAGGAATCCAACACAAGAGGTAAAGTGCATTACATTCCTGCATGCCATGCCTCTCCCAAACCTTACCTAAGGAGGACATCATCAGATAAGTTATTAACCAAATTAAACCATGAAGCTGGAAGCCTGTGGAATTGAATTTACACTTCAAAATTCAATGGAAAAATACATTCACTACAACAGAAGACATTTCTAAGACAAGAAACAGCCAGTGCATTTTAAGATGTCATCACCATATTGACTGAGAAAACTGTCAGAAAAATTACACTTTCACATTGCTTCGATTTCATGTTAATTTTTTAAATCTCAACTACTTTTCTTGATCGCCTGACCCAGTATTTGTAAAGTATTCTATTTATGAAAGTTATTCAGTATTTGGCGTCTACCGGAATTTAGTAAGCATCTCCCATGTGTTAGGGACTGTCACCTGCTACTTCATTTTTGACACACAAAGGTATCTAACTACTGATGCTGTTGAATCATTTCACATAATTTTTATTTACTCTATAAAGCGGCAGAAAAAAATTTTGGGCAATAACTAAAATTCACATGATGCAACATGCTCGTATTCCACAATGTATTTAAATACTGTCGTCAATGACAATACTGCCAATCTATAGCTCCTCATTCATAAAACATCTACACATCTTAATGTATAGACTGTAAACAACTGGTCACAGAGCCAGTAAACGAAATACTGTCATGATTCACTGTGTTACTCTATTAATTCAAAGGGTAGACACCATCTTCCAAGCACAGCATTTTGTCCTTACTGACAAGCATCCTCCTGATCAGGCAGAGAAGCAAACTCTGCGTCTTCCCTTAAAAGGCTCAGCCAATATTAACGTTACTTAAGTTCTTTCACACAAATTCTGGCTGGAAGATGATTTTCAATTAATCTGATCTTTGTCTTTTTACAATTCCTGAGCACAATTTGTACAACAGATAGATGCTTTTAACCTATTAAAGAAATTAACATAAAAATAAATCCTTTCTTTGCACTTTCTGGACACTCTTACTTATCAAGAACTACTCTCTTTAAGAATGCACTGTTTTCCCTTAATTTCATAGTTACATACATTGTCACCCTCGCTTCTCAGCTTCCAGAAGGGATGGATATAAAACCAAGACCCTTCATTCCCTGCAGCGTCCAAGGACACGCGCATGGCGTTCTTCTCCAGTAAAGCAGGGAGTCGCTTGTTGACAGTCAGATACTTGTTGCTTTTTATATGCAGCAGCTGTAGGAGAAAGAAACAGATGACCGCCTTTATTCTCTGAACTCCTCTGCTAATTACACGTGTATGTTTATACCTACATCACGTGCCCACATAACATGGCTCAGGGTAGAGATCAAACAAAGGATCTCTTTGCAGACTCTACACTGCTACCACCTTTCCAAACTGACTTTCTTTGAATCTCTCCTCACCTCCATCCCCCATTCAGTTTCTTTATAAAGTGAGTACATGAGGAAAACAAACCAGGGGACACCTCGGAATAATTTTCATCAAATGATAAATAAGAGAATAAAACCAGGCTTTCCAAAGGAAACCTGGAGGTTCCCCCAAACCACATTCTTTCTTTCTCAATTCCAGCACAGCTACCAAAACAGAATATACAAAAGAATAACCAAGGAACTGTAATAATGCACCCACCTACTTGGTATTATTAACCAACCCTGCCCGCAGACAGCCCTGCTGTGCGAGGAGGCAGACCGCGCACCCTGACCAACCCTGCCACTCCCACCGGAGGACGCTCCATCTCAGATGAGGGCGGGCGCACTGCTGTGCGGGTTATCTGGACCCCACGGGCAAAACCTTTCCAGGACACTATTCTGCTGAGTAGAAAGCTAAGACAAATAAACTTCCCGTCTATTATTCCAATTGCTTCAAAAAATAATGGTCGTCTTGATATCCACACACTAAGAAGGAAATTATCTCAGAAACCAATGGAAACCCTCAGGGGCCAACCTCACTCCTTGGGGATCCACCCTGTTAGAGCACGTGGCTCAGCCCCTAACTCACCACGCAAATATTTGCATGTCAGGTTCTTGATAAGACACAACAGCCCCACATGCTGGCACTTAGTTTCAATGAGAACTTGGCTAAGACAAAGTCTATTTGTGGAGGACCGTCTGAGGGACGTGCAGCCACAGGGACCACAGAATCCATCACTGGATTAACTCATATGTCCAGGGAGCCACAGACCCAGGCACCGTCATCCTGTCCCATCAGAAAGCTGCTGTGACGGTCCTCTGCTCGGACATTTTGCCACTGGCCAGTAACAAAACATCAGGGGGTGTTATTTTTTTCAAGCAGCTCTATTGTAGTATTTACGGTAAGGAAGTTGTTCAGGTTATTGTTGACGATATTAAACAGTGTCCTCTTTGTGAGAGCGCGTTGGATAAACAGTTCTCTGGGCTTCTTCCTGGGAACGTTTTGCTTCTAGACTTCTGACTTAGTTCCACGTCACGGCCCTTCTATGTGAACACTGTAATTATATTATGCTTTCCTTATAGCCAAGGGGACAACAGAAAGGCTTCCAGCCCAAATTTACCAACCTTTTGACCGTGGATTTTATAAACATGCCTCACCCCTGACTTCACTTTATCTGTCCAGTTGCTATTTTCCCTTCGATCTAGTTGCTTTATTTATTTCTACTTTATCTTGTTATGAGGAATGTATTTTTGAAAATGCCTTACATTCTTTTCGGAACAAGGTGGGGCATATATTAACAAATACCTAAGTAAAAAGCTAAAAGATCTAAGTGAAGCATGAGAAAGGAATGCAGCTGAGATAAATCAGTGTGTGCACTAACTAAAAGTCAAAATCCTGGGGGCGAGGAGTATGTTCAGTGGTAGAGCGCATGCTTGGTGCGCACAAGGTCCTGGGTTCAATCCCCAGTGCCTCTGTTAAGGAAAAAAAAAATCTAGTAACAATTCAGGAACAATTTCCATCTAAAATTACAATTTGAAAACCTTCCTCTGTCTACAAAATGAAAAGATAAAGCTTCACATGTTATACATGAGTCCCATTAATTCTAAAGGACTATTTCATTACAGCCCCCCCCATCATCTTCCTTTTGATTTAATAATTTGTGCATACATCTAGAAAAGCTCACTTCTCTCTGTATACCCACCAGATGTGTTTGTACAGAACACTGTGCTGAATACAACTGGAAATATCATACTAAGAACAAACTGTCGTATTCCCAAATGTTAATGCAGCTTGGCATTGCTACCAAATGTGTTATCCATAAAATTCATCTCTATTTAAGAGAAAGCTAAATCGACACTTACTTGTATGACGTTGCTGTATTTCACAATTTCTCCCAGCAGTTTCTTATTCTCTGATTCATTTTGCTTTTGTTCCAGTTCCGCAGCATGCTATAAAATGATTATCACATACTTAGTGGGAAGCATAGGAAACAGAGCATAGTAAGTGACAACGAAATAAGGTTTATTTTAGGAACAAAGGCTACAACCATGACTAAAATAGGCTGGTTGCTTGACTCTTGGTGCTCGGGGAGAAGTGGGGCAGTAATTAAATACATGACTCTAATGAGTGATGATTCTCTCAATTTAATGCTGAAATGTAACGAAAAATATATTGGGATATTTTTATGTTAGAAATTTCAGGAAAGTACCAGGCTCTTTGGTCCTATAAAATTACTTTCAGAAGCACTATTGCTAGAGAAATCAACCAGGACAGCAGGTGAATTTCAAAAGCATCAAAACACAGTTTCAGCTCTGAAAATAACAGGAATTTTCACGACACAAATTAAGTTCTACTAAATGTACACTCAGCCCAAATCAGAAACAATAGACTTTCAATGTTTTTCCAACGGTCTTTCCAAAAGAATTAGGTGCTACGCCAAGTAAAATATAACTGGATTTGATATTCCTACAGGGATTGAGTTGGTTTTCAGTTCGATGTGAATATCTGAATTAGCCTGGCACACCCTAATAAATGGGAGAAATGTATTACCTACATGCCAGGAAACCAGCGGTCACACCCCATGACCTCAAAGTCCTTTCCACTCTCAGTGTGTTGCCACATCCACTCGGAATCTCAGTACACTGAGTGAAATCACCAAGCTACGATCTTTTGTTATTGCTATACTTGCGCTGGCCTGAGCCAGGCAGGTGGGAGGCTGGCCCTTACCTGCAATTTCTTCAGCAAGGCTGCCTCTGTGTGGTTCCCCTGTTTAGCTTGCTTGGCTTTCCAATATTGTTTCTGAGCAGAATATCGGTTCATAGGGCACACCTTAAAGAGGCAGTCTACGGCAAACCAACAAACAAAACACTGTAACCAAGGAGGAGCAGCGTTTCTTTGATCTCTCCTGTAGCCTAGCCCTGGAATCTTGAGATCCCTGAGATCAAATAACATTTAAACATCATCCAGCCCCTTCCCCTGTCAACTCTTAAACTCCCCCGTACCATCCTTCTTGAATAATTATTTAGCCTGTTAAAATACCACCTTCTTCATTAATTGAGCGGTTTTTTTTAAGAAAACCATAAGTAGTGTGATTTATAAAGAAAGCAAGCCAATGTAATTATTATAAAGCCTTTCTTAATTTTAACGGGGGTACACGGTCTTAGAAAGTGAACAGAGTGAGATGCGTGACTTCCACTGCCTTCTCTGATCTTCCATAATTAATTACTTATGCATGGTGTGTTATGTTTGACCGAAGTGATCTAAGAAGTAGAAACAATCACAGTTACCACAACAATCACATTTCAGTCATTCATTCTCCAAGTCTCCACATACCTGGGGTAAATATGGCATGGAAATCTGAGATGCAGCGTGTTATAAGGGAAAAAAATGAAGGAAAACAAAAAAACAAAAAACCAAACCAAGGTTATAGTCCTAACTCTTCTACTAAACACCAGGTTGGGAAATCATGGTCGAATAAAGCAGTCAGTGAGATCTCTAAGGCAAAAAACAAAATATTTTTTTTCTGTTGAATGAGGAAAATGGAAGTTTGTTAAAAACAATGCTTCCATACACTAATGATTTTGTGTGTTTGGGGAATGGATTACAATCTAGATCAAAGGTCAATCCCCAGCAGTCTACACTAACGGAGTATTGACATAGAAGATCCAAACATTATTTTCATTTTTCTCACAAAAAAAGTATGAGAACTCTACATAACAAATTCACTTTGTTTTGCTTGATACGTTAATATTTACAATCATTTTCATTTTTCAAAAATGTTTCACAAAAATAAAATTCAGTCAACTCAAATACCCATTTTAGCCACATTCTTGATGATATTTTATATATGTGCTCATTCTGTCACTCTCATAAAAATTAATTATAAAATTAAATGAGGGGCTCGATCTCTTTTCAAATCTCACTGGTTCTAATGGTGCACACGATCAAGAACTATGACTGTATATTTTCTAAGGAATTTTTAAAATTCAGAAGGAATCACGACTTTTTTCCCTACAGCTTGTAATTATAAACACCAGTTCTATTGATTGCCTCCCCCTCTACACATACAAAGCTATAGAAAACATTATTAATTTCTGGTCTAAAAGTTATTGATGTGGATGAGTAAATATTTTATATAAAAGTAGCAGAAAACAGACATCTTCTAAACACTTAAAGTAGGTTGAGTGACTATCAAAATTACAATATGATACAGGAATCATTATCACTTGGCAAATGTGTGTGAAAACCAAATAACTAGACGTGAAAAGTGTTCTCCTTGGCAGCATATCTTAGAAGCCCTAGAAAATATCTCCTATATATTAACACCTACAAAGAGAATATATGATTTTTTCAAGCTCAGATATAGAGATTGTTTACAGGTTGTCTCCAAAAGAGGACTCCCAGTTTAAAGCAGCAGACTATATTGACCATCCTATGTTAGGCAGGTGGCCAAACCCTACATTGCTGAGTGCAGCAAAAACACAGATCCATATTCAAGTCGAACTGAACTCTACAATCTGAAGTTTCTACTTCTGACTTCCTTTATCTATGAAAAGAAAAGAGAAAAAAAAAGTGTTCTCCATTACTTCACATTTCTAATTAAACTCATTAGAAAATGGTCTTTTGACAAAGAAAATGTTTTTCTTCCTAAATTCTAGACCGCCTGACTAGCATTTCTGATTAGTGGCACCCTGGGGTAGCTAGCAAAAAAACTGGGTGTCATGGTCCTCATGCTCGTGGCTGAAGAGATTGTGAGATGAAGCCATACATCCAGCCTGGCAGGGTTACGTGAGGTTGTGGCTCTGGGTGACTCAGGGCCTGTCCTCAGAAAGTTCTCGGCCCACTGGGCGAAACAGGCAATGGCCCTGTGCTGAAGTTTCACAATGGAGCCTTGGAGAAGGTACTGGGGCTCAAGGATGCATGTGACCTTTCTCATTCTTTAGGGGAGGCAGAAAAGTCTTCCCAAAGGAGAAGACATAAGCCAAGGGGTAAAGGGTCAATACTAAGTCAGTACATCGCAAAAGGGTCCAAACGCTCAGGCGGGCGGAGCCTCCCAGAGCCCACGACCCACACAGTGGCTGAGAAGTGGCAGGCCCGGGGACCTGCCAACCAGGCAGGAAAGCTACAGCCCAGGCTGCGAAATGAAAACAGAGAGGCTGCAGAGTGCAACCTTCTAGGTTAGGACTACGGACTTCATCCCACAGAAAATGCCGAACTCTTACCGAGTTTTCAGCTCGAACAGTCTGTGAAGGATGATGTGAACAAGAAGGCGAGAAACACAGCAGAAAAGCCCACTGCCCGTGTGATGAGAGAGTGAGGATCTCAAGTTGAGCATTCGCGAGTTTCAAGGTAGCTGCTGATTTGAAAAGAAAACAGCAGAACCACCAGGCTTAATCTTATCTATCAGTGTGGGGTGGGGAAGGGTGAGGGAGAGTGAGGACGGCCATTCAGGCTTCCACCCACTCTGTCTGAGACACCAAGCCTTAGATTTCAAAAGCCCTTTCCATTTTCAGGGCCTCAGCTGCATGGTCCTTTCCAGGAACCTCCCCCAGGAGGCATCTCATTTTGTAAATAACTGATCTGTTTCTGCATGGGAACTCATATCACAGGACTATTCTGGCTGATGGGAGGGAACCTAGGGCATGCAGATTTCAGTAAAAATACTTTTGGTGTGGTGGTGGCTGCGATGGGTGTGGGAGTGTGTGTGTGTTTAATTCTCTCTGCTTCCTTTAGAAAACATTTTTTTTAATCTACTGGTCTTGGGCTAGTCACGTATTTTGTCTGATTCTAAATGTACTACATAATAATCGTGTTAATAATACCTGCCACGCCTAAGGCACAGGACTGCTGAGATGTGCAGAAAAGATAATCTGAGAAACTGCTGTGTGAACTTTAAAGCGCTATTGTTAAGTGTTCGGTGTAAGGTACTATTATTAATATTGCTTCATTCATTCAGCAAAAGCTTCACGAAGATTAAGAGGTGACTAAACTCTTACAGAGCTCTCAGCAAAGAACATCAAAACGTACAGTTCTTGGATTAAACCCAAACACAACCCCGAAGTGCACAATTCACAAGGTGTTCATCCCTTTGGTTTAAGATACAAGCGTAGACAATTCCTGAATTCCTTGAAACCCCATGGCAAGGAGCAAAGGATGCATTCTCTACTACCCTGTATTATTGTTTCAAATATGTAGAAGCAATCATTAGCACCAGCATGGGTGCAGCCTTTGACAAAAAAGCCCACGTTCCCTGGCACACAGGAACTCGGCTATTTCAAAGCTATCCGCTCTCAGCCAGCTTTCAGAACTAGCTCTCTAGTATCCTTAGGTCTGCTCATCCTCTAAAATTAGAGATGTATATACTGCTAGGGAAAAAAAGAAATTCAGGGAGCTTTCCAATTAGAAACCGGTTCAGTGTCGTTTAATAATTAGGTAACATCAATCTCTTTAGCATTTCAAGACTCAAAGAATAATAAAAAAGGAAAGGTTTGCTTCATAGAGTGAACACCAAAAGCACAAACAGAAAGAAGTAATTTGAGTCATGTTTTTAAAAAAGCTTAACCTGAAGACCTGAGGCCAGCAATTTTACAGAATTACAGAAGCTCAGGAAATGTTAAAAATCCGACAAAACCAGCTATGTTCAGTCAGGCAATATCGTAAAAATAATGTCCTAGAATTAGAGCACGTTTTTATAACTATGGAAGGAAATCAAGCCTCCCAAAGTTGTTCACGTTAAATTGAAAGAAAGGGTGGCCTCGTAATCTGCTAATAAATGCTAGTGGAGGGAAGAAATATGAAAGCCATTCAAACCGTGTGGAGCACGTAATCCATGGCATATAAAGCTGCAAATCAAAGAACTAACCTTCCCACGTGACTCCCTGTAACTCTGGGAGGAAACCAGTCTAAACCAACCTCCACTTACAATACCTAGCTAAATAGGTTTGAAATGTTTTGCTTTGTCCATATACAAGCACCTCCAAAATTATTTGTATCTAAGGCAGCTTCTGCAACCCAGTTCAAGCTATACAGTGGCCGGCAATTTCCTTTCGTAATGGTGGAAAGAAAACTTTCTGTTTCATTTCTCTTTGCTCCCAAAGAGGTTGTAAGATTTAAATAAGGCAGATATTAAACCATCGGCGAATGCCTGTCACAAAGGGGGCATTCAACAAATGTCTCTTTCACGGTAGCTTGTAAAATTACCTCATACTGATTGCTGGGAACGTGGTTGCCAAGGGCTCTATTATCTCCACATGGAGAAGGTGGGGAGGGAGGGCGTCAGGAGCTTTTCTTTTTCTCTTTGTGATATAAACAGGATGCAGCAGAGTTCCAGGAAGACAATCGGACCTTCCCAATGATAAAATGGAAAGTGGTAACAAAACTCTCCCCAGGGTAAGGGACAGGGAAACAAGGAGCCACTGGGCACTAGTAGTTAGAATTCAAAGCTGGTCAGGGGAGAGGTACACATTCATTAGCCAAAAACATAACTGTAGCTCTGTTTTTGTTTTTCAGTTTCTCTAAGAAATGCATCCCAGAATAACAGTGTGTATATAGAAGTCTCGATGTTTAAAGTGTGTTTTTGAAAGGATCCTGCTTTGTTTTGTTTCTGCGTGGAAATTTCAAACCAAACATCTATTCCCTTGATCACAGTCAAAGGCAAGTATAGAAAGGGTGTCTAAGAGGGAAAGTGTCCTCTAGAATGTTACAAAGGCCAAAGAAAATGTATCGCAGGTGATAGCAAACAGTAAAATACATGTATATTCGTGTATAACTGAAAAATTGTGCTCTACACTGGAATTAGACACACCACGGTAAAATGACTATAACTCAATAAAAAATGTTTAAA